GGAAGAAAATATGCAAATTAGCACCACATTTCCATATCTTCTTTCAAAAGCTGGGGGCAGTGTAGACGTGCCCAAGTGTGCTGTGTGTGAAATTGATCAACCAAGTGGCATGCCCAGCTGTGAACATCTGGATATTTTGGATTAAACCCTTCCCTGATCTAGAACTGCTATTTATTGAGAAACTAACCTTCATTTTTCATCACTTACTTCATAGTGAAGAGACACGTTCCCTGAGCCATCCACCTGCCCACATCCCTGTAGCTGCCCGATCTCTACTCAGAGGAGATGGAAGAGGGAAATCACTCGGTGGTGACTGAGTTCATTCTCTCAGGCCTGACAGATCGTCCGGAATTGCAGGCCCCTCTCTTTGGAGTTTTCCTATTGATTTATGTTATCACTGTGGTGGGAAATGGGGGGATGGCCTTGTTAATCACGATTGATCCCCGACTCCACACCCCCATGTACTTTTTCCTCCGGAGTTTGTCTTTCTGTGATCTCTGCAGTTCCACAGTGATTGCCCCCAAAATGCTGCAGAATTTCTTAATTGAGAGGAAAAGCATTTCTCGCACTGCCTGTGCTGTGCAAATGTATTTCTTCCTTTATTGTGTTGATGTTGAGTGTCTCTTGCTGGCTGTGATGGCGTACGACCGTTACGTGGCCATCTGTAACCCGCTGCTCTATACGGTCACTATGTCCAGGCAGCGTTGTAACCAGCTGGTGGCTGGGGTGTGCGCTGTGGGGTTGGTGGATTCTGTGATACTGACGTGTTTTACATTCCGGCTGTCATTCTGTCACTCCAACATCATCAGGCATTTCTACTGTGACACCCCCCCACTGCTGGTTCTCTCCTGCTCTGACACCCGCGTCAGTGAGATTCTGATGTTTGCCTCCACGTGTTACATCATAGTGAGCAGCGCTGTGACCGTCCTCCTATCCTACGTCTGTATCTTCTCCTCCATCCTGCGCATCCGCTCTGCCGAGGGCCGGTACAAAGCCTTCTCCACCTGCGCTTCCCACTTGTGTGCCGTGGGCATGTTTCATGGCACCCAGCTCTACATCTATTTCCGACCCACCTCCAGCTATTCCATGGACATGGATAAAATAGCCTCCGTGTTTTACACGGCAGTGATCCCCGTGTTGAACCCCCTCATCTACAGCCTGAGGAACAGGGAGGTGAAGGACGCGCTGAGGAAAGCAAAGAATAAATTGATAACCAAGTCTTGATTGTGCTCATCCCTGTGCTGGTTGAGTGACAGGCAGTGGAAAGAGATGAATTCAGTTCCCACCCTATAGTGATGTCATTTTGCAGAGCCCGGGGTGGTATTGTTCATTATTATCTTGTTCCTATACATGTGTCTGTATTCCAACGGGGGCTGCGGGTCCCCCGTGAGATCAGGGCTGTATTTGGCTGTTGCTTCTGGGTGTGCATAAAAATCTAGGTGATGTGTTTTGAAAACGGGGAGCTGACTATATTGGGAATGAAGAGGGAGCATCAAATATAGCTCCCTCCTCCTTCTAGGGGTGTTGATTTCATTGGTCAGTTGCGAGGGTAACGTGTGATTTCTTTGTGTGAAGCAAAGGGAGTTAGTGCACCTACCTGCCACTCTGCAGCCTTTTCTGTGCTCTGTTGGGTTCGTGTATCTATTCTCACCTGATTTGTGACCATGCACAAGGAGGAGAGAGGTGATTTCCATCACACCGTGCTAGGGCAATGCTTAGAGTTATTTCATGTCAAAGTCCGTTCTATTGCTTGGGATCCATAGGCTAAAGGAGGGGAGTCTCCCCATTCCAAGACATGGGGATCTTCATGTCTATAGGAAACATTACAGAACTAATGTGATGCTCCGGTGTTTGCTGATGCTCATAGAAAAGGGAAACCGATTCTGCATTGCTGCCTTTCCTCGTTCTTCTCTGCATCATCAATACAAATTGTTTTAAAAGGAAGAATGGGTTTGCAACTTTATTTTCATATCCCATGTTGAATGTGGATATTCCTTGAAGAATGTTGGAGTTGCTTGAAGTAAAAAAATCTGGCAGTATGGACTAGAGGCAGTTACCTCTACTCAGTCAAACTATCCAGAGGCAGCCTTCTCAAAAATATTCACAAATTCAGGATGCCAAGGAATAGGTATGAAACTGTGAATCTTCATTTCCTGCTGCCTCCCTTTGCCCATCTCTGAGGGTATGTCTACACTACCCCGCTAGTTCGAACTAGCGGGGTAATGTAGGCATACCGCACTTGCAAACGAAGCCCAGGATTTGAATTTCCCGGGCTTCATTTGCAAGTGCGGTATGCCTACATTATCCTCCTAGTTCGAACTAGCGGGGTAATGTAGGCATACCGCACTTGCAAACGAAGCCCAGGATTTGAATTTCCCGGGCTTCATTTGCAAGTGCGGTATGCCTACATTATCCTCCTAGTTCGAACTAGCGGGGTAATGTAGGCATACCGCACTTGCAAACGAAGCCCAGGATTTGAATTTCCCGGGCTTCATTTGCAAGTGCGGTATGCCTACATTATCCTCCTAGTTCGAACTAGCGGGGTAATGTAGGCATACCGCACTTGCAAACGAAGCCCAGGATTTGAATTTCCCGGGCTTCATTTGCAAGTGCGGTATGCCTACATTATCCTCCTAGTTCGAACTAGCGGGGTAGTGTAGACATACCCTGAGTGCGAGTCAATAGATTTGCCTGCCTCATTCCACAGTGCACAAATGTTGATGCGTCTTTCTTTGAGCCTCATCAACATAGTAACTCTAAGCACCTCGCAAACTTGAATGTATTTAAAAAAAGTAGTCCTGTGGCTCCTTAAAGCATAACACGTATTTCTTTAAATTATCATGAACTTTCGTGGGCAAAACCCAACTCTTCTGATGAGGAGCTGGAGTAGAAATACCAGAAACCAAGTTATTTATTTGAAAAATAGCCGTTCTTCTACAAAGCAATTGTGTTTTGCGTATAGGAAGCACAAGGGATCTTTCTGGGGGGGAAAGGGCAATATGCCGTGTTTATTGAGAATACAATGACAGGCAGTTGTCATATACATACATAGACAGACACACACACACACACTGTCTCACCAATCCCTGTCCATGGCCAACCAGACTGCTTACGAATGGAGGAGCGGGGGGTCTATCGATCCGAACCAATGCTTCAATCGGTGCAGACTGATGCTCCAGTCTTTGACAGTACGTACCCCCAAATTATGGCAAAGCACCTCCTTAATATAGCAGTTTTCTTTCATTGGGATCAGAGAGCTTTTCTGACGGAAGTTTGTTATCTCCGGTTGTTTCCCTTGCTCCTTGTCTTCTTTGTGCTGCCAGGGTAAGCTGATTTTGATCACAGATATCTTGTCCCCGTTGATAAATGCTCATCCTGTCCCTCAGGGTCCTGCGTTATCGAAAGAGGGCAGATTGATAATTCAGTAATCTGTGATGCCTCCTTGTCTCCTGTTGGATCCTCTCATTAGCATCTCTTGTCCAGTGGTGGCCTTCACACTTATCTCTCACACATTCCTTCCTCTCACACATAACGAGGGTTACAAACCGAATTTCACAAGAGCAGATCATGACATTCTCCCCCTCTGTTATGTTACAATCGCTACTCGGGAACTACAAACACAACAATAACCACAAACATCTAAATCTATTTCTACTTCCAGATGGTTTGGCAGCGTATACAGTATCAAACAAATCATGACCTACCACATTAAGACTTGAATGCTTAGAATGTCACCAAAACAGGAAATAGAATTTTTCTACGTCAATTTTGGCAGCCGATCACAGAGGGAGAGTTCAGGATTGGCATTCCTTTGCAAATCTGACCCTGGTTCCCTGGGCTTGATCAAAGACATTAACTGGGTATCGTGGTTCCCTGGGCTTGATCAAAGACATTAACTGGATATCGCCTGCTACAGCCAATGCCCGCTACCTCTACCAACTGCATTGTTACATCCAAAGAGAGGAGGGGACACTTCCAGCCCACTTAATTAGCCTCACTAGCACCAGTCCTACAATTGACAGGTACCTTTTTTTCTGTTCCATATAACTTGGGAGCTTAAGGCCTTTTTGAATAGCGAGGACCTAGGAAAGGTGGCCTCTTTGCCTTCCCCACCACAAGCTAAATATGAGTGAAGAGTTTGACACTGTTGCAGAAAAAGCAAACTTGATTCTGGGCTGCATTTACAGGAGTGTGGTGAGCAAGACACGAGAAGTCATTATTTCGCTCTACTATGCACTGATAGGTGCTAGGAGTGATATTAATGCCAGCAGCAACTTAACCACAATTCATAGAGTCTAAACTTTAAACAGAATCCTATAAATCAAATATCTCTTTGAACCTTAGCAACACACAGGAGAGCCAGACGGGTTCCAGCTTTGTACTTAGCAGCGTTCAGCTTTGATCCAGCTGGCTTGGGGCCTACCAGCCTCCCAAGACAACCCAACATTTGTTTGGGTTGGACAATTTGGTTTCTCAGTTAGAACATGTTCTTGGTACCTGGCCAGAGCTCCGTCATGGTTTCGTCACAGCAGGCTTTTGAAGGCCAGTCTCATCTGCTTCTATTTGAGACCTTCCACACTTTTTTTTTTGTAAATCAATATGCATCCCAGCTACTCATTCGGTCTAGTGAGTGTGTCAGGTCTGGCAGGTTTTGCTTCACCTCCCACTGGATTCTTTGTCAGTAGGCACTAAGGGGCTGTTGGGTTTCAAAAAGTAGCTTTTGAACAATTATAGAAATCTATATAATGTGCCTTGCAAGTGCTCAGGGCTCTGTGTTGGGAGAAAAATGGGGCACCTCAGCCATCTCCTTCTCCTGTCTGCCTAGAGTGTTGTCTAAGCACCCAGGGTGGGAGAAAAATGGGGCACCTCAGCCATCTCCCTCTCCTGTCTGCCTAGAGTGTTGTCTGTGCACCCAGGGTGGAAAGATGCCGTGCAGCAGAATGGCCTTTATTCTAGGTTAAGACAACTATAAAAAAAGAAGGAACAAATATAAAGTTCCTATGACATTGGATTGCCTGTGGGCATCCTCCTGGGCGTTCTGCATTGGACTGAATACCAAAATGGCATTCAGGGTTGGGGTGTTCCTTGTAGAAGAGAAATAAACACAAAAAAGTCACATCCCGTCCATCATCACTATATTCACTCTGATTCCCTCCTCTTTGGTCTACTGGAAAAACATGGTAGACTCTAAAGAGCAGGTGTTCAGGGAACTTCATGACTCAGAGCTCGGTGAAGGGGACATGGAAAAAATTGTACCTGGAACTAACTCGTCAGGTTTCCGGGTGGGAAAAAAAATCCATGTTCGGAAACCAAAAGCAGACAAAAATTCTGGTGAATTGAAAAGTCAATCAACAAACAAAAGTGATTCTGGGTTGAATGAATCATTTCAATGCCAGCACTTCTCCCTCTCCACTGCCAACTCTTTAGCTCAGTGGTCCCCAATGTTTTGGGGCTGCCGGGCGCCTGGGGGCGGGGCCGCTCACGCGCTGCGCGTATGGGGGCGGGGCCAGCATGTGCCACATGCCCGAGGCCGGCACCGGCATGTGCCACGACCCCGGGCAGAGGCTGCCCAGGTGCCGCGCACCTTTGGCCGGGGCCGGGGCCAAGGCCAGGGGCGAGACCGGATTGCTCCGCGGGCGTACATAAATGGCCCAGCAGGCACGGGCACCATATTGGGGACCACTGCTTTAGCTCATGTCAAAATTTGTGGCTGAAAATAAAGGGGACCAACATTGTGTGTGAAAAGCTTCACTCACCTCTAGTTTCAATTTGTGTCTTCACCACTGTATCAAGGGATGAGGTTCGGGAGGAGCAAATGGGGGTGTGAGGGGCTCACCTCTCGCAAGTGCCCCCTTTTGGCTGAGGAGAGGTCTCCACAAACTCCTCTCCTCCCACTGGCTCTGGACGTGGAAGGATCCCAGACGCCCTTTCTTCTTCCTCGCATAGGACCAGGCTTCCTTCCTACCCACTTGGGTAGCCACAAGGAGCCGAGGGAGCCTATGGTACCACTGGCCCACTAAGTGTCCTCACTGCCCACTGCTGCTCACTCCCTGGGCGTCTCCTCCAAGACCTGCCCTCTCCTTTCCCTCTTTCCGGGCTTTGAGATAAATTCCTCACTGCACCCTGTCCAGGGGTCAGCATTACAAACATGGCCGGTCTTCAGCCACAGGACCTGGGCTTCAGCTGACTCTGCAAACCAGCCCCCACTCGGAGCTGTCCAATGA